CAGAGGAAAAGGAGAATAATGAGAGAGAGAAAGGCTTCTAGGATCGTTGGTTCCTTCTTCTCCTTCATGCAGGTCTCGCCGATCCTGTAGATGTTAAAAGGGATGGCTCCATGTCACGGTCCTATCCATCACTGGCGCCATGTGCAGGCATCATATGCTGGTCATGGCATTCCATCTCGTCCTAGCGGACGTCGTGGTGAACTGACGCGCCTGTCAGCGTTCGTACAAGGGTTAGGCAGAACAACACCAGTACGCCTGACGCTGTTCTTGATGTGAATCCTTAGGTATGGCCCGTCATGGCCTTGGGTTACATGGAGTCATGCTCGTCTCTTCTCTAGTGTTAGAGTTTTGACCCAGGCCCATACACCTAGACATGGAGTGGTTGGCGGCGATATGGGTCCCCGTCGAGGTCAGGTGAGATGGAGCTTGTGACCCTTGGGGGTCGGGCGAGATGGAGCCCATGACCGATGGGGGTCAGACGAGATGGAGCACGCACCCAAGGGTCGAGCAAGACAGAGCCTGTGTGAAAGGTCCTTGTTGGTTTTGGTAATTGAGTGACAACCTAGGTGGACTAATTGTGTTTATGTGAGATACACAGGTGATTAGTCCACAGGTACATATGTATGAGCAACATATGCCATGGAGGTGAAAATGGCATGGAGATGTTGCAAAGCTCACACATGTGATGATGAAGGAGCTTATTGCACATGAGACATGACATTGAGTCATGTGATCAAGGTGGAGAAGATCAAGACAAGACTTGGCTTGATGGACCGGTTGCAAGCGTGAAGGGCAAGTCAAAGGCTTTGGAGTGATGGACCGCGTGGCGGTGAAGCTTGAGCAAGACTTGGCACCGATGGACGATAGCAACGGTGAAGAGCAAGTAGAGTCAAGATCGATGAACCAATATGATCATGTGATGATATGAAGTGGATCATATTATTGTTGATCGTGTTGGTGCATGTGTTGCATCGACATTGAAGGAGATGGAATGGAATGCGCAAGGCAAAGGTATAACCTAGGGCATTTCATTTCACCGGTCATAGGTGTGTAGAGAAGTTTATGACCGAGTTTAGGATAGATGGCCGTACTATCAAGAGGGGCAAACTTGTTTGCATATCGGTCATCTAGTGCCACTCGAGTGATCTAACTTTGCAATGTCGCTAGGATCGAGTGGCGTGGCAAGTTGAGTGGCTAACATCCTTTGGGAAATGATTGTGAAAATGCTAACAAACATACACATGGTGGTGTACACTTGGTGGTGTTGGCACATTTACAAAGGAGGTGGTGGTTGTAGGGGTGAGATGGATTCGGCGCTTTCGGGAAAATAGAATGCCTATTTTCTATTGCGCCGGATGCAAGTTCTTGTGGTTAGCACATTGGAGCAAGGGTGATGAAGTTTGAAGTGAAAACGAGTTAGTTGCGAAGATGCTGGCATCGATCAACTGACCGAACGCTGGATCTGAATGCACCGGACGCTGGCAGGCTGCGTCCGGTCAGGCTGATGTACGATGACGCAGAAGCTAGAGTGTGACCGGACGCTGGCTGCGTCCGATCAAGTGTGATCGGACGCGTCCGGTCGAGGTCGTTACCTTACTGGAAACGACCGGACGCTGGGGGTTCATCGTCCGGTCAGTTGAAAGCTGCTGCGTCCGGTCAAGTCAAGTGACCGTTGGAACCGGGACACGTGGTCGTCTGCGGGCGACCGGACGCTGAGGTCCAGCGTCCGGTCAACACGACCGGAGCGTCTGGTCGGCCCGACCGTTGCCCAGTGAAGGGGTAACGGCTAGTTTAGCCCTTGGGGCTATAAATAGAAGTGGCCCTCGGCCATGGCTGGTTATGAGCACCTCAAGGGACTTAGTGTCCATGCTTGTGAGTGCTTGGGAGCCCTCCATCACACATATACTTGATAGTGATCATTCAATTGTGTGAGTGAGCGATTCTAGTGCGATTGCATCGTGAGGTTGCATCGAGTGGCACTAGGTGGTTGTGTTGCAAGCCGGTGGTGCTTGTTACTCTTGGAGGTTGCCATCTCCTAGATGGCTTGGTGGTGGTCTCCGTCGAAGCCCGCAAGAAGCTTGTGCGGCGCTCCGGAGAAGTGCTTGTGAGGGGTACTTGTGCTCGCCCCGCGGGAGTCGCGAAGAGCAACTTTAGTAAAGCGTTTCATTGAGCTACCCTCACTCAAGGGGTAGGTTCTTGCGGCGCCCGACGTGCGGGCTTAGCGGGTGATGCTAATTAACTGTCGAACCACCAAGTGAGCGGTCAACACAACGGGGACTAGCGTGTTGGCAAACACGTGAACCTCGGGAGAAAAATCATTGTGTCAACCTTGTTCTTCCCATTGGTTTGCATCCCCATTACACAAGCTTGCAATTACTTTTATACATATTAAGCTTGTGTAGTTGCTCTTGTAATTAAATAGCTTGTGTAGCTTGCTAATTATCTTCTTGCTTGTGTAGCATAGAAGTAGCTCCCTTGCATGAATAATTTGGTTTTAGTAACCTTGTTAGTCACATTGCTTAGTTTGTGTAGCTAAGTATTTGCGCTCTCTAATTAGGCGTTGGTTGCCTTGTTATTGAGCATTGCTAGTGAGCTTAGTTAGCTTTGTGCTTTTGCTTACTAGCATGTGTAGGAGCTCCCTTGGTTACTTAAAGTACTAGTGGCATAGGTTTGTGTGACCTTGCTCCTAGAATTGTTTAGGAGAGCTCTAGCTAGCCCGGCACCTTAGTTGCTTTATTAGTATCTTTGCAAGGTGCTAGTGAACATATATAGAGGGGTGTAGTCTTGGCTAGACCGATTGTTTTAATTCCGCATTTATATCGGTTAGCCGACGCGATTAATTTTAGAAAAGACTATTCACCCCCCCTCTAGTCCGCCATCTCGACCCTTTCACCGTGGCCTTGGGCGAGACCCCCATGGCCTCAGGGTCGGGCGAGATGGAGCCTGCGACCCTTGGGGTCAAACAAGATGGAGCACGCACCCCAAGGGTTGGGCAAGAAAGAGCCTGTGGCCTAAGGGTTGGGTGAGATGGAGCCCGCGGCCTTGGGCGAGACCTTTGTAGCCATGGGGTCGGGCGAGACGAAACTACATCCTTGGGGTCAGGCGAGACAGAGCTCATACCCAAGGGGTCAGGCGAGACATGTTAATACGTCTTGCTCTATCCAAGGAAGTCAGCGTGGGCGCTAACTCCCTTGCTTTGGGTATCCCTAATATCGATACCCGATAGAAATCAAACCCCACACAAAATGTGATGGCTGCTGTAGACTTTGACCTCAAGTTCACTGAGGGCTCAGCACATGATGCCCTCATCCTTGCTGATGCCATTGAGAGAAATGATGGGTTCATTATGACTGAAGGTAACTAAAACCAACTATCCACTGCACTTATGTCCTTACCATGTCATAGACATTCACCAAGAGCATCTTTGGTGCACTTGTAGGTAAATTCTACCTTGTAGATGCAGGATATGCCTGCCGTAGTGGCTTCCTCCCTCCCTACAGGGGGGTGAGGTACCATCTGCCTGAGTATGGCAGCAGAAACCACCCAACCAATGGAAGGGAATTGTTCAACTTGAGACACTCCTCACTTAGGGTCATAGTTGAGAGGACTTTTGGGGCTTTGAAGAACAGGTTTCATATTTTAGACAAAAAGCCATTCCACCCTTACAAGACACAGGTCAAGCTTGTGCTAGCCTGTTGCATTCTTCACAACTGGATTCTTGTCTTTGGCATGTACCAAGTAGTCCCATCAGAGGATTGGTTGCCACCAAACCAGTCAATTGAGACTGTCCATAGGCACTTCAACCTGGTTTTATATGCTGTTGGTGAGCTTAAAAGTGAAATTATTAAGCCTCCTATACCTGGCATACATCTAAAGATCCTTGGAAGCCATAGATGGCAAGTAACTATAAATTTAACTGTTAAGCCATAACTCACCGTAGGTGTCAACCAATGCACTTATCCCACTTACACCTTTTTTAGGACTATATTGGTGCCATTGATGGCACCCATATGTTGGCTAGGGTGCCTAGACACATGCAGCAGGCTTTCAGGGGTAGGAAATCAAACCCTAAACAAAATGTGATGGCTGCTGTGGACTTTGACCTCAAGTTCACTAAGGGCTTAGCACATGATGCCCTCATCCTTGCTGATGCCATTGAGAGAAATGATGGGTTCATTGTGCCTAAAGGTAACTGAAACCAACTGTCCACTACACTTATGTCCTTACCATGTCATAGACATTCACCAAGAGCATCTTTGGTGCACTTGTAGGTAAATTCTACCTTGTAGATGCAGGATATGTCTGCCATAGTGGCTTCCTCCCTCCCTACTGGGAGTGAGATACCATCTATCTGAGTATGGCAGCAAAAACCACCCAACCAATGCAAGGGAATTGTTCAACTTGAGACACTTCTCACTTAGTGTCACAGTTGAGAGGACTTTTGGGGCTTTGAAGAATAGGTTTCGTATTTTAGATAATAAGCCATTCCACCCTTACAAGACACAAGTCAAGCTTGTGCTAGCCTATTGCATTCTTCACAACTAGATTCTTGGCTTTGGCATGGACCAAGTAGTGTCATCAGAGGACTGGTTGCCACCAAACCAACCTGATTCTCAGCCTCTCCATGAGCTACTATCTTAAGAATCTAATGTTATGTGTACTGCAATGTGGGAGGGTAGGGGTACCTCTAGGACCTAACTCATGCATGTTCTTTCATTTGGAGTTTAGTTTAATGACCCTGGTATGGAACATATGATTTATGTAATCATTATGTAATAACTATTAGACAAGGCCAAGACCAACTGCTCACCAATGTTAATAAAATAGGATGGCTTTAGCTCCTATTGATGTGGTTGGTGGTCAGGGAGGGTTGGTGGCTGCTGCTGACCTCCTAGAGGTTCTTGGGGCTGACAGCAGCTACTGGTCATGCTGGTGTTCTAGCCCCTGCTATTGTAGCACTAGCTGCCCTCGCTGTTGTAGCTCAAGGTGCTCCTAGACCCATGAGGTGGAACAACAACACCTCTAGGTTTGTGCTTAGGAGGATGGCACAGCTGCTCAGTGATGGTAGTAGGCTTGACAAAGTGTTCAAGGACAAAGATGTCAACTTAGTAGCCAAGCATCTAAAGGAGTATAGTGGGGAGGCCGTGAGCCCAACTCAGGTGTACAACCACCTGAGGAAGTGGAGGCAAAAGTGGGCTAGGATCTCTAAGCTCAAGGATCTTAGTGGTGCTATGTGGGACAGTGACGCTAACTCCATCATGCTAGAGGGGGAGCAATACCTAGGCCACTGTAAGGTAGAACACTTGGGTGAACTTCCTCACCTCTATCCTACATACCTTACCTGTTCTATGTCTTTCTACCATCTATCTATAACTCAATCACCTACTGTAGAACCACCCTAAGGACTCAGAGTTCCTTAACTATCCTATAAGGTTCTACACTGAGATGGACGCCATATTTGGTCATGCCATGGCCACTGGTAGGTTTGCACTGAGATCTAGTGAGGCCCTTGGGGTGAACCAGGCTGATAGTGTAGCTGCAAAGGTTGAGGGCTATGCCTTCAACCATGTGTGTGAGGAGAAAACCCCCTGTCGGAGTTTCAAGTTACCACCGACTAGTAAATTTCTAATATTGCACGCCTGGCTCGGATGGTGTGCTAAGAGGACACGAGGTTTATGCTGGTTTGGGCAGAATGTCCCTACATCTAGTTCGTTGCTGCTGCTCATGTTACTAGCACTAAACGGTCGAGAGAGGGATGGGTCCCAAGTCTCTGATGAGAGGAGCAAACGGGTGCCAAGGGCTCGGTCGCTTCCCGGCTGTGTGCTTGTGTGTTCTGATCGGTTTGGGTTCGATGGGTTCCAGCCCAAATCGATGCTATGTGTTGCAATGAGTTTCGATGCCCCTTGTAAGACATCCTGGTTTCTCTTTTATAGGTCAAGGAAAAGCACGGGTTATAGTGGAGGAAGAGAATAGAATGAGAGGAAGAAGTCCTTCAGGATCGTCGGGTCCTTCTTCTCCTCTATGCTAGTCCGGCCGACCCTGTAGACGTTAACAGGGACAACTTCTCATCACGGCCCTGTCTATCACTAGTGCCACATGCAGGCATCATCTGCTGGTCATGGCGCTCCACTCTGTCCTAGTGGATGTCGTGGTGAACTAACATGCCCGACGTTGTTCCTGACGTGAACCCCCAGGTATGGTCTGTCGTGGGTCACAAGCTACATCAAGGCGTGCTAGTCTCTTCCCTAGCATTAGAGCTTTGACCTAGGCACATACGCTTGGACCTAGAGTGGTTGGCATCGATATGGGTCTCCGTTGAGCGAGACGGAAGTCCCCAACCTTATGGTTGGGTGAGGCGGAGTTCCTCCCCAGAGGTCGGGCGAGGTGGAATGCAAACCCAAGAGGTCGGGCAAGGAGGATCCCAAATCCTTGGTGTCGGGCAAGATGGGGCCTACCCCTAGAGGTCGGGCAAGGCAGAGTCCGCCCTTAGGGGTCGAGCAAGGTGGACCCCATGGCCTCGGTGTTGGGCGAGGCTGAGCCAACCCTTAGGGGTCTAGCGAGGCAGAGCCAGCCCCCAGAGGTCAGGCGAGACGGAGCCCATGGCCTCGGGGTCGAGCAAGGCGGAGCTAGCCCTCAGGGGTCGGGCGTGGCTGATCCCATGGCCTTAGTATAGGGCAAGGCGGAGCTACCCTCAGGGGTCAGGCGAGGCGATGCCAACCCTCAGGGGTTGGGCGAGGTGGAGCCCACGGCCTTGGTGTTGGGTGAGGTAGAGCTACCCTCAGGGGTCGAACGAGGTGGAGCCCACGACCTCAGTGTCGGGCGAGGCGTAGCCAACCCTCAAGGGTCGGGTGAGGTGGAGCCCGTGGCCTCGGTGTTGGGCGAGGTGGAGCCAACCCTTAGGGGTCGGGCGAGGCAGAGTTTTTCCCTGAAGAAAAGTAGAGAGCCCTCGGGACCGGTCGAACCGACCCTAGAACTATATGGATTGACCAGTGAGAATCTAAAGTCGGTCACCAAGCCAACCCTAGCCAGATCCCCATGAACGACATGTCGGGACCCCACTCAAACTAGCCAACTAACAACTCATCGAGCACTAACCATAGTCTTGGCCGGGTTAGTGCTCGATGAGTTGTTAGTTGGCTAGTTCAAGTGGGGTCCCGACATCTCGTTCATGGGGATCCGGCTAAGGTGAGCTTGGTGACCGACTTTAGATTCTCAACGGTCAATCCATATAGTTTTGGGGTCCGTTCAACCGGTCCCGAGGGCTCTTTGCCTTTCTTCAGGGAAAAACCATGGATCGTACCTGGCCGAGACTCGATCATGGGATAGGATGCCCATGGCGCTTGTGCGCCTAGGTACTGGCTGCTTGGGGGCCCATCCCTTTCATCCCCTACTCTAAGGGTTCCTAGAGCGATTGTCGAAACCGTCGATGGGCCAACCTTCGAACACCTAGACCCAGGCGGGCCGTAGAGGTGTTTTTTATCCGTATTCCTCTTTCTTGTGATGAGTCGTGGCCCGTCCAGAGAGGCGAAATGTCCAGCAAGTTTTTTGAGGGAATGAATAGAGATTGCATGCGCACTTCCCATGGCAAGACGTTGTGGCTGATCATGGTAGGCACAGAGATCTAGGTGGGCGGTTGGTTTCCTCACACCCGTCGCCCCTATATAACCAAAAGGGTTCACCCCCTGGGTTCCATACCTTGCATCCTTGCCTCCGCAACCACGACCACCACCGCCAATCACATAGGTCTCTTACCTCTACATCTCCGCCGTCGTCGAGCCCGCATCCATCCACCCCCACCTCCAATGGATCCATGGTGTAGCTCCGACATCACCTTCCAGTGCATGGAAGGTCTCATCCATCGCGGTCTTCTCCATGCGTGGACCTCGACCAAGGAGTGGTTGCTGCCTAGCGAGGAGTATCGAAGAGGCCCCAGAGTCGTGGAGGAAGTGGGGTGTCCAATAGAAGGATAAGAAGAAGATCCAGGACCACATCGCCGCAAACTACAACCTAAAGGAGAGCGGCCTGAAGGGGTCAGGCATCATTGGGGACTACCACACAAGGAGGGTGGCACCATTGATGATGCGCATGCTCCCATGATGGCGCCCGAGGCGTCATTCGATGGAACGGCGCTCGTCGAGGGAGCGCTCCCAAACTCTGAGATTTCACAATGCATTAAGAAGGCCATGGAGCCCTTGTGGGATGATGCGGGTGCCCCCCTCGATTTTGTCTTCCTGATGCTGAGACATCCTCCAATGTGGTCGGAACCAGGCCACGTCATCTTTGTAAGTTTCCCCTTCACCTGCCTTCTCTTCAATCAATTTGCCGACCACTTGATACTAACTTTGAGAGGGGCAGGACTAGCCGAGGGACCTCATCTTCACGGATGACATGGCTCTGTTGCCGAGGGATTCATCTGTGAGGGCAGCAAATCATGCCGAGGGCAAGCAGCTGAGGAAGGCGAAGGAGGATAAGAAGAGGAAGAGGCAGTGAAAGCTACAGGCATGGGAATGGGGGACGACACCAACAATGATGATGATGATGATGATGGCGACAATGATGAGGTGGCCAACGATGTCGAGTGGGACATCCTAGAGAATGAGGATGCGTTGATAGGTATTGGTTCATCTATGCAGGAGTCGGGACCCTTCCCTTTCCATGGGGGGAAGGCACGTCTAGGAGCCGGTGGGGACAGGCCGTACCGTCGGCCTGCCCCAGGAGCCAATAGAGGCGGGTGGCTCTACCGCCGCGCCCAACATGCTAGCGGAGGTGGGTGGCTCTGCCGTCGTGCCCCAAGATCCAAGGGGAGCGAGCCCCTCTACCCAAGAGCAGGGGGCAAGCTCAAAACTAAATCACCCCGACGAGGCAGAGCAAAGGTCGGGGTTCACCCCCAAACATATCTGCCGCCTAATGGTGATGAGGCGAGTCATCAGCTCCTCTATTTTTCCCTATTTTGGTCGGATTTCATCGTGACTTATGCTTTTTGTCTCTTGCAGCATCAGGAGGCAGCGTAATCCTTTGGCGCCGGCACCAAAGAAGAGTGTCGTCCTTCAAGCGAGGTGGCAGCCGTCGGCTGGCATCACGCCCATTTTGGGTGGGAGCGGCGCCAGTGTGACTGCGTCGTCGGCCGGTCAGGCACCGCCCATGGTGGCGCCCATCCCTCGATGGGATGAGTGGATGCGGGGGCTCAAGGGACGCCTTTGGAGGTCGTGGAACAGCCAACGATGGTAGTGATACCGCTGCCAATGATGGGGCTGGATGGGGCTGCCGACTTAGCTCACGGCACTGACCATGGTGGGCGTGACGCAGCCGGTCAGGACCCCGCCGATGTAGGCAGCGGTGGCGGTGGCTGTGACAGGTGGGTCATAGCCGGCGCTATCGTGGTGACGCCTGAGGAACCGACGTGACCCGCGCCATCGGTGGCCCAGGTGATGGCATTTGGCATGGGCCGGATGGAGGGGGTGCGGCCGAGGGGTCCCCAGAGGTCATGGTGCTAGGAGAGGAGTCAGCGTCCGTACCGCTGGCCCCTTCCATCACCGGAGCGAGTGTCCCGGCGGGGACATCATGGCGACGAGGGTGGGCGGCGATCGGAGCCGGCGGGGAGCCGTCCCTAGCCCTAACATCGGTGGGTAGTGACTCGCCTGTGTGGGGCGAGCCCCTACTCTAGTGGGTGAGTCCGGAGGATCCAACGTCGACGCTCTTCACTCTTGACGACGCCGCAGAGAGCATGGAGCGGGAGAGCCTCGACATGGGGACCACGTTCGTGCTCGAAGCCCTAGACCACGCCCGAGGTGCCTTGCATGATGTTGTCATTCCCTCCGGCCGGGTATTTGCTTGACCCTGCTTCTCACCCTTTTCTTTCTCTATATATTTTTTGTATTCTGATCATCGTCTCCTTTTAGTCCCTTATCGCTCGCAGCCAGGGGAAGTCTTAGTTCCTTCATGAGTAGAAGGAAACCTAGGACAACCTCATTGAGGAGGCACGACTATGCAGGGAGGTGACCGCTCAGCTTATTGCTGCCTAGTAGAGGGTGGCCGAGCTGACTCCCCTTGTCGAGGAGGCGGACGGTCTTCGGTCATGGGTGGCCGAGACCCGTCGGCATGCTGACAAGGCCGAGAGGGCGTTCGAGGCCCTATTAGTGAGATCGTGAAGGGATGACGAGGAGGCCACCAAGGTCAGGAAGGAGTGGGACGAGCTGCTTCACAACAACGCCGAGACCCACCAGCGGATCCACAACCTTCTGGCCGAGGTTGAGAAGGAAAGGGAGCTGGAGCTGGGGGCTGAGGAGAAACTCATGGCCCTAGAGAAGAGGGTGAGTCTGGATGCCACGGCGATCGCCTAGCTATGCAAGGAGCGGGATGAGCTGCTCCAAACTATGAAGAGGCTCCGCTCAAAGCATGGCATGGCTCGCGAGGAGCGCAACCAGGCCCTCCGAGAGCGTGACCAGGCCTGCCAAGAGCACGACGACGCGTAGCAGAAGGTCGGCTACCTCTAGGCCGAGCTTGGAAACATGATGACCCAGAAGCTGGAGGCCGAGAGCATCTCTGCCGAGCTAGCCGTGGACCTTGCC